ATGAGAAACTATTTGTTCTGTAAGCCTTCACCTGAAGTACAATAAAAAAAATAAACTATGGATGGCTTATCAAGATATGAGAAGAGGCAATAAATGTCATTTCTTGGGAACAGACTAAAGAGATTACTGATCAAAGCAAAAACTGTAACTTATATTGAATTCTAAGCACAAGAGAACTATTTCCAAGAACAACTTTTGACACTCAAAGCCAGGTTTATAAGGAAGATTAAACATTTTTTTAAAAGCAGAATTGGAGAAACACTGCAAGCTGGTTCAATTCTTTAAGAAACGAATCTGACAATATTTTTCAAGAGCACTAAGATGTTCATACCCATTTAGCCTAGTGATTATTCTTTCAGGAATCTGGCCTTAGAAAATAATAATGAAGGAAAAAGGAATGTGGAAAAAAAAAGTTCACCATAGTATTGTTTATAGTAACAAAAAAATTTAAAACAACCTACATTTTTAACAATAAACCAAACCCATTGCTGTCGAGTCAGTTCCGACTCAAAGCTACCCTGTAGGACAGAGTAGAACTGCCCCATAGAGTTTCCAAGGAGCGCCTGGTGGATTCGAACTGCTGACATTTTGGTTAGCAGCCAGAGCTCTTAATCACTACGCCACCAGGGTTTCCAATTAAATATGGAACATTCACTTAATTTGCAATTACAGTCATTTACAAAGATGGTTATGAAGACGATACAGCAACAGAAAAAATACTGGCTGCTTCAAGTTCAGATGGTGGACTGAATACCTGCATCTTTATTTCATTTCTCCCTGAAATTATAGTGAATACATTTCATATAAAGGCAAACTGAGAGATACCAGGGAAGGAAACAAAAGACAACAAAATTTTGGGAGTTGTGAACTAGAAAGCTGAATCGTAAGCAGTAGTTTACACTACAGAATCCTGAAAAGGCTTAGGAACTGACAGCACCAGGTACCTCTGGATCTTGTAGGGAAGAGAGATGCTAAAGTAAAAAAGGACTGAGTGAAATCTGTGTGCAAAGCAATTAGATTCCTAAATCCCCTCCCCAACTCCACACAGTTGGTAACTGCCCCTTTAACCTCAGCCCAAGTCTAGAGGTACAGTCTCTGGAGAGGGAAACAGGGAGGTTTATCCTCTAGATTGGGAACATTATGGACTTCTAAGAGAGTAGTTATCATTCTGATAAAAGGGGTATTAAGTAACTCTATAGAAATTAATTGTTAAATAAGGAGATCGTCTCCCACCCAGCATTCTTTCTTTTCTCAATTCCTAATGGCTTTAAACTACCAAGCAAGAGATTATAAATAACTCTCCTCTGGGGGATCCAACCTAGAGGAAAAACCTAATGATACTGACATGAGGTTCCCAACAAATGGTCCATCCCAACTACTCTACGCTGAAGAGCATAAGCCCATACCCACATGCTCAAAGCTTACAATCTGGTTTTGTTTCCCCAAAACTTAACTGTGAGAAGAAATCCAAGAAAAGCCTCTGATTAAGGATATAGAGACCAAAATAAAGAAACATAAAACTCAACTTGGAGGAAACAGACACAGGAGGGGGAAAAGACATAAAAAACAATGAATCTTCAAAGAATTAAGAAGATATGATATACATGAAACAGGATGCTTTTTGAAAAACTTTACCAGGCACACAAGTACCTAGACACAGTGGATAAAAAGAAACCCATCCCAAATTACATCAACATGAAATTTCAAGATTTCTGGGGATAAAGAGAAGATTCCACACAATTTTAGAGAGAAGAACAACAAAAAAACCAGGTCACACAAAAAAGTTCAGGAATCAGAATGCTTCAGTCTTTTCACCAGAACCCTGTGGCAAAGAGACAATAATCAAAAGGAAAATTAGTTCCAAGCTATGAATTCTATCCAAACTATCAGTCAAACGTGAGGGTAAAATAAAAACATTTCGGGCACACATGCTGTCACATTTTGCCTCCCACAGATGTTTCTCAGAAGTTAAAGAAGGATTACTCCACTAAAATGAGAGGCAATCAAAAAGGAAAAGAGGTAAGACAGGAGATGGTGAAGACAGTCCCAGGAGGACAGTAAAAAGATATCCCAGGGAAAAAGCCATACAGCAGACACAGAGAACAGGTCCAGAAGGGAGCGCTGTGATTCAAGAGACAGACATTAAAGACTGTGATCTACACTTCAGGCCACCATTGTATCACCTTTTTAACCAAGGATAGACTGCCCTAGTAAACCTTGTCCCAACTTTTATCTGTATTTGGCTTGTGTTGATCTATTTCCACTAATCTGTATAAAGAGAAGATGGAAACGCTCAATATCATCAGTTAGAACAAGGCCAAGTGCCGACTGTGGAACAGACCGTTAACTGCAAGTTCAAGTCGAAGCTGAAGAAAGTAAGAACAAGTCCACGAGAGCCAAAATACAACCTTGAATATATCCCACCTGAATTAGAGACCACCTCGAGAACAGAACTGATGCATTGAACACTAATGACCAAAGATCAGACAAGTTGTGGAATAACATCACGGACATCATACATGAAGAAAGCAAAAGGTCATTAAAAAGACAGGAAAGAAAGAAAAGTCCAAAGAGATGTCAGACAAGACTCTGAAACTTGCTCTTGAACGTAGAAGAGCTAAAGTGAATGGAAGAAATGATGAAGTGAAAGAGCTGAACAGAAAATTTCAAAGAGCGGATCGACAAAAGTATTATAATGAAATATGCAAGGGCCTAGAGTTAGAAAACCAAAAGGGAAGAACACACTCAGCATTTCTCAAGCTGAAAGAACAGAAGAAAAAATTCAAGCCTCAAGTTGCAATACTGAAGGATTCTACAGGGAAAATATTAAATGATGCAGAAAGCATCAAAAGAAGATGGAAGGAATACACAGAATCACTGTGCCAAAATGAATTAGTCGATGTTCAACCATTTCAGGAAGTAGAACAGCATCAAGAACTGATGGTACTGAAGGAAGAAGTCCAAGTTTCACTGAAGACACTGGTGAAAAACAAGGCTCCAGGAACGTACAGAATACCAGTTGAGATGTTTCAAGAAACGGATGCAGCGCTGGAAGTGCTCGCTTAACTCTGCCAAGAAATCTGGAGAGATGCCTGGACAACCGACTGGAAGAAATCCATATTTGTGCCCATTCCAAAGAAAAGTGATAAAACAGAATGCGGAAATTATCAAACAATAACATTAATACCACACACAAGTAAAATTTTGCTGAAGATCATTCAAAAGCGGTTGCAACAGTACATCGACAGGGAACTGTCAGAAATTCAAGCCAGATTCAGAAGAGGACATGGAACAAGGGACATCTCATTGCTGACGTCAGATGGGTCTTGGCTGAAAGCAGAGAATACCAGAAAGATGTTTACCTGTGTTTTACTGACTATGCAAAGGCATTTGACTTTGCGGATCATAACAAATTATGGACAACATTGCGAAGAACAGGAATTCCAGAACACTTAATTGTACTCATAAGGAACCTACAACATAGACCAAGAGGCAGTCATACTGTGTGATTTAAAGTCAGGGAACATGTGTGTCAAGATTGTATCCTTTCACCATACTTATTCAAACCTTATGCTGAGCAAATAATCCCAGAAGATGAACTATATAAAGAAGGCAGCATCAGGATTGGGGGAAGACACGCTAACAACCTGCGATATGCAGGTGTCACAATCCTGCCTGCTGAAAGCAAAGAGGACATGAAGCACTTACTGATGAAGATGAAAGACTACAGCCTTCAGTATGGATTACACCTCAACATAAAGAAAACAAAAATCCTCACAACTGGACCAATCAGCAACATCATGATAAATGGAGAAAAGACTGACCATGTCAAGGATTTCATTTTACTTGGATCCACAATCAACACCCATGGAAGCAGCAGTCAGGAAATCTGATGACATATTGCATTGGGCAAATCTGTTGCAGAAGACCTCTTTAAAGTGTTACAAAGTGAAGATGTCACTTTGAGGACTAAGGTGAGCCTGACCCAAGCCAAGATATTTTCAACTGCCTAGCAGGCATGTGAAAGTTGGACAATGAATAAGGAAGACCAAAGAAGAATTGATGCCTTTGAATTATGGTGTTGGCCAAGAATACTTAATATATCATGGACTCCCAGAAGAAGGGACAAATCTGTCTTGGAAGAAGTATGGCCAGAACGCTCCTAACAAGCAAGGACGGTGAGACTTTGTCTCATGTACTTTGGACATGTTATCAGGAGGGACCAGTCCCTGGAGGACATCATGCTTGGTAAAGCAGAGGGTCTGTGAAAAAGAGAAAGACCGTCAATGAGATGGACTGACACACTGGCTCCAACAACAGGCTCAAGCATAACAACGATTGTGAGGATGGAACAGGACTGGGCAGTGTGTCATTCTGCTGCACATAGGGTTGCTATGAGTTGGAACTGACTCGACGGCATCTAACAACAGCAACATATGAATGGACCCTTTTCACACTGGACAGAAACAAGAAAATTGTAGGTCTTTATTCGCTATGCAACTTGCTACTCCACAGTAAACCATTAGATTTTTTATGAAAAGAAGCACTAACAGACTAAGAAAGCAAATGAGAAAGAGTAAAACTCCCTGACAACATAAACATTTACAGAACAGTCTTGCCTTAATGATCTCCATAACCAGCTTATCCCATTACGTACTCTTGTTAAATCCATGCCCAGCTTGAGCTGTGACAGGAGATGCAGGATAACACTGCGCTGCTCTTCCACAGCTCCCAGGTCATCCTCCTTGTTATCACAGGTATCCTCCACCTCCTCATCTGCATTTATTTCTTCAGGTTCCTTGACGCAAGACAAAACAAAACTCTAGTGTTACAAACACGTATGAATATCCATTTGGAATAAAAACATAAACGCCAGACTTGAAGACATTTACGTGGGGCCTAAGTAAATCTGAGAACAGGCAAAAATCTTTCTGAAAATATAACCTACATCCCTTGACCATGGAATGGATTCTCTTCAGAGAACCCATTGTCACTGACACTGAACACATTGTGGTTTTGGTACATCACATATAAAATACAGATATTTTTTAAAAAGAGTGAAGCTCAGGCTTTGTAGGCTTTGACCACCTGCCTGGGGACACTACTACTACCTATAAATTACATTCAGTACGCTTTAAGAAGTAAATATTTGCCTTTTTTAAAGCTGAAACTATAAAAGTACACTGAAATTTGAAGTTACTGTGCATGTCAAGCCTAACTACTGTAACCTATGCTTTGATAGTCACTTGTTCTTGGAATGGTCAGGAAGAAACCTTGAGGTTAAAGAGAATTCTGGGTGCAGGTATGGAAACCCATTAGTTGCTCACGCAGTCTTAGTGCCACAGAAAGTTCTCTGCACAGCTCTTAAAACCAATCAAGAAAACAACCCCCTCAAAAACTGAAAATCTTTACTTTCATCTCAGTAGGGCCCTGGCTCCAAATAACTAGTTAAGAGAAAATTAATTTCTATTTAAACATCGTATGGTTTCAAATCCCAAGATTCTACAGGATTTTGTCAGCTGTCACTTTCCACATTTATTTGGAGAGCTGTCCCTACTCTCAGCAGTACACCCTGTTGTATCTTTGTGTAAGAGAGCTTTATATGAGGATATTACCTTTTAGATTTCTATTAGGATTTAACTTAAGAGGATTTTAAAAAGAAAATGACTTAGTTAATTTTTCTACCTTTGATTTTCCCCTTCCATAATAAAATCTTATCAAACAAAGAGCCCGTCTATTCTGTGCAGTTGGGCAAAGAAAAATCCTAATCCAGTACAAAATAAAAAACTTAATGTTCTCAAAATATTGAAAACAAAACAGCAGGTTTCCGATCATTGTTTTGCCTTTATCTTTCTTTTTCCTCTATCAAGGATATCTATATCAGGTCAAATTCTGGTAAGTCAATTAATGGTCTAGTTCATTTCCTTAAATTAAGAATATACTTGTGTTTTTATGAACTTGAGGAGAGATCCCAGAAGCATTCTCAATTCCCCTTTAATGGCTAGTAAACCTGCCAGAAGTATTTCCAGTTACCTAGCCTAAACCAGTTGTGCAGTATAGTGTAAGTATACTTCTGAATGTTTAAAACCCAAACCAGATTAGTTGCCGTAGAGTCGATTCCAATGCGTGGCAACCCCATGAGTTGCAAAGTAGAACTGCACTATAGGGTTTTCAAGGCTGTGACCTTTCAGAAACAGATAGCCACCTCTGGGTGGGTTCGAACTGCCAACCTTTCGGTTAGTAGTCAAGCACTTAACCATCTGTGCTCCCCAGGGCCTCCTTCTGAATGTTTACTCACCATAAGACACAGCAAAAAGTTCACCATTCTGTCTACATACGGATTACAAATATAATACTAATTCATTTGAGAAATGTTGAGGAAAAAAACCTACTAGGTCTTGATTAAGCAATGTCCTCCAATTCTCTGAAAAGGTACATCTGAGGTCAGAACCTAGGACACAGATTAATAATGCAAACACAGCCTTAACACTATTATACAGTATAAAATTTACTTCGTAGTTTGGAACTTCCTCCTATGAAAATAATATTAAAGAAATAAAGTGTAATCTGGTAAAAACTCTGTTTTAAAAAGTATAATTGTTATTGTTTTTATAAAAATGGTCAAATTACTTAGTAAAATAGAAAAAAAGACGAATGATAATTAATTAAACACTGATTCTAAATCTTTGTGTGAATAGAAGAATTTGGAAACAGTCTTCTTTTTAAAATGTCTCTTCTTGGTCACCATGCCTTTCTTAAAGAGGAGCTTAAGGTAAAAGCATTACCCAAATTCAAATATACACTCAAATGTATAAAATCCTAATCCAGAATGGTTAGCAAATGTAGTGGCAAATGTTGTTGAGTTTCTAGGGATTTCTGTGTTTGGAGATTATGTGGCAAAGGGTAACCCCAATATTCTATAAAATGCATACTAACTTCATTTTGTCCTTCTGATTTCTGATTTGAGGCACAAAGGAACTGTGGGCTTCCTTCTAGCCTCATCAGGGTTTACTTCCTCTCTCGTGTGACAGCAAAACCTCCACTACTATAATATAGGTCTCCAGCTTGCATTAGCACTCATGTTTCAAAGAAGACAACTGTGAAACTTTTGGAAAACTCAGGTCTATTCTGATGTGCGTGAATGAAGTCTTATGTCTTTTGTAACTAAAAAAAAAAAAAAAAAAATGTAGTTTTTTGTTTTCCAGTTACACTAGGCAATGTATTTAGTCTATTCACCATTTCAAAAGAACTGGAAACACACCAATCCTCTCCTCCCTGATCCTATGCCCCAACTCTAACATATGCCTTCATCCTGATTTCCAACATGTCTTATGTTCTCGTTTAGAAGAATAAAGATGTTAGAGTATGTGACTTTTACTTTATTATTTTTCTCTTACTAATTACATCTCTAGTCCTGGTCTCTCTCCAGAGTTTTGGTTCTATTATCTCCAATTGCTTTTTATATACATTTACAATCAAATATCCTCCTCTCACCTAAAATTCAACCTGTTCATAACCCTTTATCTCTCAAAAGGTTCTTTCTTCCTAATTCTCCTAGAGAATGGCACCACAACTTTATCTAATCATTTAGGCTCAAAAATTTGTGAGTCATCTTTGATCCACCTCTATATCCAGCCAATCACAAGCCCAGCTGAGTTTTCACTGGAAAAGCACATTACGTATTCATTTCTTCTCATTTCTATTTTCACAGCTTTCTATCTATACTTTAATTCTAATTCATATCACATACCATCAATCTTCTTAAACACATCACACCCCTCCCCATGCTCATGACCCCACTGTCTACCATATTAACACCAAATTCTTCCACATGATTTTTAATTCCTTTAAAAATAATAAATTAAAAATAAATAACTGGTAAAATTTGTTGATCCAGTTTCCCTGTGCTGCACCAGCTCCAGAGGGGCATGATTTACACTCTGTTCCGGAACAGTGCTCCAGGGACCATCATTCACATAGACCGTAACATGAATGGTGCCATATGCAGTTGTAATATCCAACAACCTATGATCATTTCCCACAAGCTAAGTACACTCTTAAATTCATTTTATACCTTCATAACAATCTTATTCATTTTATATCTTCATAACAATCTTATAAGGTATTACTATCCCTGTTTTACAGGCGAGGGAATTGAAAGTAAGAGTGGTTCATTAATTGGCCCACATATTACCAGATGGCAGAACCTGGATTCAAAACCATCAGACATGCCATCTCCATAATGAGCATATCTATCTCACTATCCCTGCTCGTGTCTCTTCACCTCTGCCTCTAGCTCCACCTCTAGATTGCCTTACTCCTCTCCAAATCCTGTCCTTTCAAAATCCAATTTCAATCCCACTTTCTCGCCAAAGCATTTCTCATTTACTCCACTTAGACTCTCTCCTTTCTCTGAATATCCATATTCCAACAACCTACACCATATCAATTAAGACCAAAACAGAACAAAAAACAAATCTTCATATTATCATCTCATTGTTTCAGTGTACACGTCTGTGACCCCAAGAAGACAGTAAGTCTATTCAGGGAAAGAACCATGTCTTATATTTTTTGCAACTCCTCCAATTCCTAAAACTGAGCTTGTGATATGCTAGATGGCTTAAAAAAATACTTGCTGTCTGCTCGACTCCACAAATGAGCTACTGAAAAGCTAATTCATAAGTTGCTCTTCTCTTCTCCTCCCCCCACCCCCGGCACCCTGCCACCATTGTCTGCCTCATCTCACCAAGGACTTTGCCACATTTGGAGGTCCCTGTGTCATACATTTCTTCTAAGAAGTAATTTGCTAATATATAAATAGTCACAAGCTGTTGGTTACTCTTGACTCAGTAATTTCACCTGGGAATATAACCTAAAGAAATAATCTAAAGAAAGGGAAGAAAAAACTGTAACAAGATGATATAGTGCTATTTATAATAACAAAAAATAAGAAAATCACCTAGATATTCAGAATGCGGACACTAACTCAATAGCCTACTTGAACCTTTAAAACTTTAATTATATAGACCAGAGCAACACAGAAAAATGCTTACAGGAATATCAAGTAAAAAGAACTTAATATAAAACTACCTATGAAATTCCTATGACCATAAAAAGAACAGAAGTGAACACAAAGGCAAGAAAAACAATATATGTTACAGTGGTGGAATTATGAATAAATGAAAATGCCCTTTATTTTATGAGAAATGTGGAATAAATAATATTTTTTAAAAATATTAAACTCTAAAATCATGTGCTGTTTTAAGTAGAATAACACTTTAAAAAATTGGTTTGTAAGAGTGCCGACTGTCAAAAAGACTTAATAGTAAACTTTTAAACTAACAATAAACTATGTTAAATTAACATAATGAAGTAAGAACTTCAGGAGATAAACATCATGCAAACAATCTTATTAAATAAGCTATTTCCTAGAGGAGAAAAAACACGCAAATATCAAATTTTTAAAACACATTATTAGCAAGGAAAGTGCACCACAACTAAAAAGAGTACAAAATTTAACCTGGAAAAAAACAACATGTACAAGTTTAATACAATAGACTTCTTCTAAAACCAATGCAGTTTCAAATAGAACAGCAATGTCTGGAATCTGCAAGAATGTTGTTCTGATGTTCTGTGACCTGCGTGCCCTGACAACATGAAGGGAACGGAACGTTTTCAGTGATTCCTCTTTTTTTACATCAAAATCATACTTTCACATTACCTTACCCTTGCCAATAGTCCAGATTCCGCAACAGACTGCTGCTCTGGGGCTGCCAACGGCTTACTCTGCTCAGCTGCAAAGGGCTGGTCAGCTCCATTTTTATAGTGGTTTGATAAAGGTATCTTTGGTTCTAACCACTCGATTGTCGTTCCTGATGAAGTAAGAGAAAACTTTTGCTGAAACTTGCTCATAATCTGGAAGGTTCAGCAGATGTAGATTTTATTAAATGATTTTGTTTGGAGCCTGCAAGACTGAAGGCAATTCAACCTGTTAAGAGAGCCTGCAAGACAGCCACTTGTGTCTCATTAGCATGAGCACCATGATTGGGCAACATTTTACAACAAACCAACTTGCAACTTGAAATCAGATACCATTTAAGAATCAGCCCTGAATCAGACTTTCTGGGCAAGTCTGTGAATCATTAAGGTGTAGCCCCCCCCCGCCCCCCCCAATAATTGATTTGCTGACCTTTCTGTATGAACTCTATCTCTTTTGTGATTAAAAAAAAATATATGCCATTAGGCTTTAGGGGGTCACAATTACGAGAGGCGTCTGGGACTGTGAAACAGTAAAATTTGCTTTGATTTAGGATTTAACTTTATTCTCCACAGTAAAAATTTTCTAACTGATCAGGATAACACCCCGGATCTAATTTAAAAATTGCAGATACATGTCTATTCTTCTTCTTTTTCATGAAGTCGAATAGTCCCATATACTTTTAAACTGAAAGGCTCTTCTGCTGAATAAATAATAGCTGACCTAGTGAAAGACAGTGGTCACATTTGGAGACCTGTCATCTTCTCAGTTAATGACTCAAATGTCTCTTATTACCCTCAACTAGTTTAACGAAGTGGATTCTATACCTACTCAATAATGAAAAATGTTCCATTTGATTTCAGAGGCTGATCTAGGTTTCACAAAAGCTTGTTTATAGAGTGTTTCAATCAGGGATGCTCAGACTGCTGCAGCAGGAGTTAAAATGAGTAAGGAATTCACTCAGCCCCAGACTTCAGGAGAGGAATAAACTACAAAGTACCTACCAGGCTACCAGAGCATCTTGCCGTGCCAGTGCCACTCGGCTCAGTCTCACTTAGCACTGGGGGAATTCGTGGCTGGGGGATGCCCTGGATTAGCTCATGAGGCCTGTTTTAAAATTTCAAAGAAATGAAAAACCTTTGCTCCTACCTTAAAATATTCTGAATATCAATATCCAAATTCCCCTACTCCTAAAAATAAAATGCACATAAACATGCAATTAAGGGATCTGTTTTAAGAGATCCTTCAACATATTGGAAACCGTAACAAAACTATATCTCAGATAAATCATTTGGACTCAGAGTTCCCTGAAATCAATGACCACTACTGAGCCTTTGGATAACATACATTAAGATGTAAACATAATTTGAATTTAGATTTCATTTCTCATGTTACCTCATAATTTATGAAGGTAATTCGATTTTTCTTTCCACAGTTACATTTTCATTCTCAAGTAGTTTAAGAAGAAATCCCTACAGACCGAATTCTGAAAACACAGCTAGAGAGAAATACCAGCAACAGTTCATTAATTTTGCCAAATACCCACAAATCTGTGCTCCAAAAATGAATGATGTGGAAGAACAGCTTTCACCTTAAACACTCCTGGAAGGTTTACATGTGTTTCACTTTTGTAATTAAACAATGTAAATTTATATTGCATTTAATCCTGAAGCAACCATTTAAAAATAAGACTGAGTTAATTTAAACTAGTCAATTTTTTACTAAGAATTAAAAAAATTAAAAATAGTACTCAATTAATCAAGTATTTATCCAGCATCTAGTACCGGGTACTACTCAACTTGATGAACTTTTTAGAAATTAAGCAGCATAAATTGGAAACAAACGCTTTGTGTAGTTTTCCTGACAGAGTTATTACTACTAACACTAGAATCAACCCAAATTTCAGATCTCAGGGTCAGGGTAAGTCATCCAGAAAACTGAACACTCCAACAAACAAAAAAGGAATAGTACCATTTATATTACCTATAAACTAATCAGAGACTATTAGAAAGAGAACAAAAATCAAAAATTTCCCCCTAGGAACTGCTTCCTGTATAGGCTAACCAACGATGCTTTATTTTTAAATATTCTGTCATTATAAATTATATAAAGAGCCCTGGTGGTGCAGTGGTTAAGCGCTCAGTTGTGAACCAAAAGGTCTACAGTTTGAATACACAGCTGCTCCGTAGAAGAAAGATGTGGCAGTCTGCTTCCATAAAGATTAACAGTCTTAGAAACCCTATAGGGTAGTTCTTCTCTGTCCTATAGCAATGCTTTGAGTCAGACTTGATGGCAATGGGTTTTCTGGCTTAAAAAATTATATACTAATTCTAAAACAGTAAATCATATAAGAACGGAAAGATCAGGAAACATCTTTTTTTCTCTTCTAGCCTACGATTAAACAAGAGGAAACTAAAGTTAAAATACCATGTATTTTAATTACTTTAAATTAATTAAATTAAATTATTAATCTCATTTAATACATGGTATTTTAAGTTTGTTAATCTGTTTGTATTAGTGTAAGTTTTACTTTTGTAAAGCCACTTTGGAAACAACTTAAATGTTCAACACGGGAGAAGCGTTCAGTAAACCAAAGTACATCCATCTCCTCAAAGAAACAGAATGCAGCCAATAAAATTATGTTTACTAGAACACATACTAAATTGGAAAAATATTTTTTGTATTACGTGCAAACTACAGGACACAAACACATATATTTTCTAGTAACAATGGTTTAAAACAAAAACCAAGAAGAAAAAAGCAAACAAAAAAACTGGTAGAAAGCATACTAATATATTAACAGTGGTGGTTTCTGGTTGGTAAGACAATACATGATTTTTGTTTCTCCTTTCAACTGTATGGCAACCCTGGTGATTGAGTGGTTAAGAGCTATGGCTGCTAACCAAAAGGTTGGCAGTTTGAATCCACCAGGTGCTCCTTGGAAACCCTATGGGGCAGTTCTACTCTGTCCTATAGGGTCGCTATGAGTCAGAATCGACTTGACAAGAACGGGTTTGGTTTTTGCCAACTGTAGGGTAGTTTCTAAATTTTCTATAAATTTCTATAAATTGTGTGTTGCTTCATAAAAGAACAACATTTATGCTGGACTACTTAAAATTTCTCCAAAATCAATCCAGTTCACAACATACAATTTAAACTCGTTGCCATCGAGTCGATTCTGATTCATAGTGACACTATAGGACAGAGTAGAACTGCCCCGCAGAGTTTCTAAGGAGTGGCTGATGGATTCGAACTGCTGACCTTTTTGGTTAGCAGTCTTAGCACGCTGTAGCTCTTAACCACTGTGCCACCAGGGCTCCAACATACAATTTAGACTCTTATAAATTTTTGAAAAGCCCTCTCTCCTAAACTAATTGGTTATCATAGCTTCTCTGTGACTTCTCCGGGCCTTTTTTAATCAGAATTATTTGTCCATTCATCTGTTCTCCCACAGTATTTCTTCCCTATTGTTAGTAGTGCTTCACATATTATAGTTAACCAATGTACATGTTTCTTCCTCAACTGGATTGTGAGTCCTTTAAGGGGAATATACATAGTTTATTGACGTCTGTAATGATGCCCTGACCTACACTTACAATTGCCATGAAAAATAGTTTGTTGGCTTGAACTGCTGCATTTGGACACACATGAGGATGGCATCCATATCATATCATATCAAGATCTGATTATAGTAAACTTTTCCTGAGCAGAGACTCAGTGTCTTTCTAAAATACCTTTCTTTCTTACACAAGGGGAGTTAGTTGGGTAAGAGAACAGTAAGTTGTTGTGAAATACTAAATTATTACTATTAATACAATGTGATGGTGTTTATTTACTCACTTAATAGAAAAATTCATTTTTGTAATTCCATGCAATAACACTCTTTTCCCATGTACAACCAATTTCAATAAATAGATACTCTCAAATACTAGGCATATACATTGTTTTTTCAAACTGAAAAGTGACTAGAAGACCTTAAAAATATATCAATATAAAAATAATGACTAGTAAACTGAGCCAAAACTCAAGAGATGATACCAGTTTCTAGTTTTGTCAACTGAGAGGATTATAATGCCATAATTTTAACAGAAATATAAAAGATGTAGGTTTTGAGGTCAGTTTTTGATATGCTGAGTTGGAGGTCTCTAAAGGGATATTCAATGACTTAGACTTAATTCAATTAGACTTAGAATTCCTTTAGATCCAAAGAACACAACAGGAAGAATTTGTATAAAACTAGTGTGAAAATTAAAAACCAAGAGGTTCATTGGGCTTTTGTTTATTTAAGATTTTCTGGAGTTAGAATTACAAACAATACAGTCTGTTCCCCATTTTGGCCCTCCATGTTAAACCCTACCTTTAATCTACAAGTTACCTGGAGGCAGTGAGCCCTTCTGATGTGACGCATGCTGCAACTGCAGAATATGAAAGCAGTCATTTAGGCAGTTCATAGTTGCCATAGACGTTGCTTTCAGCATCAAGAGATCCTGGTCCAAGGAACTAAGATGGCCAGAAGCAGGAAGGCATTCAATTCTTCTAATTAAGTCTCTCTGTTGTCCTTCGGCATGAGACATCATCTAAGGAAAATAACAGTTCTGTGGGTCCCACTCATGATTTCTGTATAGCATATATACGTACAGTTGCCATTCTGATTACCATATTTAGCTTCTGAGTCACTTTTTAGGACATATTAACTTAGAAGGAGCCCTAGTGGTGCAGTGGTTAAGAGGTACAGCTACTAACCAAAAGGTTGACAGTTCGAATCCACCAGTCACTCCTTAGAAACCCTATGGGGCAGTTCTACTCTGTCCTACAGGGTCGCTATGAGTTGGAATCGACTTGATGGCAATAGGTTTTTGGTTTTATTAGCTTAGAAATATATTTTAAGTTTGCTTGGTTATTAGCAATGCTCAATTAACAAGCATTTCATTATGTTTATCAATTGAGCACAGAGTGGTAAGCTTTGGCAGCTGCACTTTTTCTTTGGAAGCAACAAAGTTCAAAAGATTTCCCACTTTTTATTAACAGCACAAATTTATACAAGTCACTTGAAAGAACATCCCAGAACACCTATATTAGCAGCATCAAATATTTCATTTCAAAGTAAAACTAATTCCTGGTCTGGCTCTCAACCACCTTCTCAGCATCTCCAGTTAAGCTCATTTTGAATCTACACTGAGAATATGATAGTTTACTTGCTGCTTCTTTCCTTCTTTCTAACTTTCTGGTCCCATTAGGCTAATTTTGGAGAAGTTAAAGGAGTTTAACGCACTATGATTTGATTAGAAGCCCTGTCTACTTTTCCTAACAGAGCTAATGGACTAACAATGATTGATGAGCATCCTAATTTTTTAAGATGAAAACTGAAATTTTTAGATGAAAGCTGAAAATAAATCCTCAAGGTTCTCAGATTGCCCATCCTTTGGACACTAGTTTAGTTCACACAGAAACTCTATAGTGGAGAGACGCTTTTAGCTTTCAGAGGCTCTGTTTCAGCTGATTTTTAATACAGTTCATCAGAGGGCTAGTGAAAGAGAGATGCAAAACGACACTCCCAAGCAAATCAAGTGTGTCACGCCTGAAACAGCTCCCTGAAAACTCAGGCCGCAGGAAGGGATCAAACATTCACCCTTCTCTGCAAAAAGTTTTTAAATGAGAAGTGTAGGTGTGGAGGTATACACATCTGCACACTTACACACGCATATACACGTGTGCCTGCTTTGTGTGTGTGTACGTGTGTAATACATCTGGGAATTAATTTCCAATAACCCAAAGTTATGAATAGGTAGGACCACTTTGGAAAATAGTTGGGCAATATCTACTGAGCTAAATATAGTCTATAATGCAATAATTACACCCTTAAGTATATACCTAACAGATATGCATATATATGTTTATCAACCCAAATGTCATCAATACTGGAATGGATAAAAAAAATCATGGCATATTCTTCACACAATGAGTATTACACAGCAATGAAAAGAAAGGAACTGCTACACTCAGCACAGTAAGTAAATCTCAGAAATATAATGCTGACTGAAAAGAATCTAGACACAATGGAGTACATACTATATGATTCCAGTTTTAGAAAGTTCAAAACTAGGCAAAACAAATCTATGATGTCAGAAACCAGGAGAGTTGGGAGGGATGTAGCGACAAGGTGAGGCATGAGACAGTGTTCTAGGGTGCTGGTAATATTTAATTTCTTGATCCAGGAAGTGGTTATCTGGAAATTATATCAAGACTTACACTTATGATTTGTGTATTTTTCTGTATTATATAAGCCAATAAAACTTTAAGAAAGGAAAAAACTATACCTAGGATATTCAAAACGTCATCAGCAACCACAATGAAACAACACATGAAAGAAAAATAGAAAGTGTGTTTCTTCGTGCAAATGGCCCGTAACAGCCACCTCTAGTGCTGCCATCGGAAGTGAAGAGGTCTAACAAAGTGATGCTCTTGGCTAAAAAAAAAAAAAAAATAACTTTAAAATACAAGTAAAGCACAACTGTTAAAATCTGGTAACGGTTCACTCCAAAACAAACGAGTTGGTCATGTATTTCTAAGAAAATGGAAAAATAATTTGTGAAACGGTGTTTGTGGTTATCCCTGCCACTACAAAACAGGTTCCTCAAGAAAGAAAACTTCAGGAAACCCGCAAACTTAGTTAACCTGTGTTTTGTGGCTACTCGGTGGGGGGAGTATGGGGATAGAGTACATCATTCAGGTGGCATCTAGTTTTGTCTGAAAAACATTAGAACCACAGTTTTATCGCTTGTATTTAAGTTGTGGGTCTGCCTCTGTAGACTGGTCATTTCAGCCCCACCCAGCACATTATTTAGCATGCATTAAATAGTGGAGTGAATCAATAAGCAGTACTTACTAAACAGCAAGTACAAAAATAGATCACTTCAATTAGGTAAAACTTTAGTAATAAATTCATGCTCAAGTACATTATGACACTATTATCGACAGTCAGTAGCTTTTACCAGTCGTCACTTAATCTAATGCTGGATTTACCCACAGACTTTGATTAAAATGTTCCTTTCAAACTTACTATGAGCTAGATAGCTCTGTTTTTTTGTTTTTTTTTTTAATTGTACTTTAGATGGTTTGCAGAACAAATTAGCTTCTCATTAAGCAGTTAGTACACATATTGTTTTATGACATTGGTTAACAACACCACGACATGTCAACACTCTCCTTTCTCGACCTTGGGTTCCCTATTACCAGCTTTCCTGTCCTGTCCTGGCTTCCAGTCCTTGTCCCTGGGCTGTTGTGCCCCTTTCGTCTCATTTTGTTTTATGGGCCTGTCTAATCTTTGGCTAAAGGGTGAACCTCAGGAGTGACTTCATTACTGAGCTAAAAGGGTGTCCGGGGGCCATACTCCCAGGATTTCTCCAGTCTCTTTCAGGCCAGTAAGTCTGGTCTTTTTTTGTGAGTTAGAATTTTGTTCTACATTTTTCTCCAGCTCTGTCCGGCCCTGTCACAGAGCAGTCAGTGATGATAGCCAGGCACCATCTAGTTGTACTGGACTCAGTCTGGTGGAGGCCATGGTAGTTGTGGTCCATTAGTCTTTTGGACTAATCTTTCCCTTGTGTCTTTAGTTTTCTTCATTCTCCCTTTGAGCTAGATAACTCTACAACAGCAATTCTCAAAGTGTGGTCTGCAGATCGCGGTGGGACTCCGATCCTTTCAGAGGGTCAGTGAAGTCAGAACTATTTTCAAGTAATTCTAAGAAGTTATTTGTGTTTTTCATTGTGGTGACATTTGCACTGATGGTGCAAAAGCAATGGCAGGCAACACTGCTGGCATCTTTGTGAGAATAAGCACAGGGACACCAACTGTAATGGTTAAGATTGTGCGTCAACTTGGCTAGGCCATGATTCTCAGTGTTTATATGTGATCACTGCCATGATGGAATTTGCTGTGAGTAGGCTATCAGTTGAAAGGGAGTTTCCTTGGGGGTGTGGCCTGCATCCAAATATAAGCAGATGTTCTGACTTTTTGCTCGCTCTGGATCCTGCGGCCGCCTCCTGTTTGTCTGACCTCCGGTTCTTGGACTTGAGCTATCAGCTTATCTGCCCATCTTGGGATTTGTTGACCTTCACAGCCTGTGAGCAAGAGCCCTGCTCTCTGACCTGCCAATCTGGGGCTCACCAGCCCCTCCAGCTATGTGAATTGAGAGAAGCCTCTATCCTGATCCACGGACTTGGGACATTCCAGCCTCTACAATTGTGTGAGCCATTTCCTTGATATAAATCTCTTTAAATATATATATATTTATATGCTTTACTGGTTTTGCTACTCTAGAGAACCCAGCCTGACACCAATTGTCCCAGTAGTGACTGTATTCTTTACTGCCATGCACTCATACTAAAAATAAATAAATAAATACATGATACATAAATAAAATGCCAGTTTTACTTAGGAATGTCCTTGAAAAAGCAGCAGAAATTGTTAGTTTTACTAAAGCTTGACTCTTGTACATCTTTTTAACAGTCTATAGGAGAAATGAGAAGTACACATAAAGCATTTCAGCTGCATACGGAAGTATGGTGCTTGCCTCAAGAAAAGGCACTCATGCAGCTGAGTTGAGACCTGAACTAGCGGTGTTTTTTTCATGGATCACCATTTTGACTTGAAAGAATGACAGAAACTGGATTTTCAGACTTGGGGTATTTGGCAGACGTTTTCTTGAAAAATAAACAAAATGAGCCTGTCACATCAAGAGAAACAACTGGCAGTATTTGTTGTCAATTGTAAAATTTGAGCTTTAAAATGAAAATTAGAATTTTGGAAAACACACATCCACCACCACAAGCTTACACCTTCCCCATACTGAAAGTCTTTCCTGATGAGAATGGTGGCGATGTTAACAAATGCGATCTTTTGATACTGTATAATGATAAAATGGGTCACCATTTACAAGACTTGCATACATAACTCAACGAACTAATATTTCCCAAATGACCAGTGCATGGTGCTACAAAATCACGCACAGGTCAAGCATCCATTCAAAGTGCAAGAAAGACCAATGGATCTTCATGTAACAGAATATGAAAAGCTCACTGACACATATTCAAACCCAACATTGCATCTAACATTTAAGAAACTACCCTTTGTCAAAAATGCAGAACAGAATTTCAAATTCTCATGGACTCTAGACTTCCTGGAGCCATGGAGGGTGGATGAAACTACTTCCCTGAGATAATCTTTAAACCTTAAACCAAAAATATCCCCGGAAGTCATCTTAAAACTGAACAACAGTTGAGCTGAACTAGTAAAAAAGGCCTGCCTTGAGCATTATGCTCTTTTAAGAACTATCTATATGGGATCAACTGACAACAGTAACTTGAAAGATTAGATAGGAAGCTTAGGGGAGAGTGAGTTTATGTTAATGAGGGAGGAACAACTCAGAATAGGAAGGTGAGAACGGTTGGTTGTACAACTCAAAGGATGTAATCAATGTCACTAAATTGTACATGCAGAAACTGTCGAACTGGTGTATGTTTTGCTGTGTATATTCTCAACAACAACAGCAAAATAAAATTTAGAAAAGAAAAAAAAAAGAAAGTACCGTTTGTCAAGTTCGGTATCACATAAAAGAATATATACAATTACCTGAAAAAGCTATTAAAACATTCCTTTTTGTCCAACCACGTATCTGTGTGAGTCCAAATTTTCTTCATGTATTTCAACTAAAACAACATATTGCAATAGATTGAAGGCAGAAGCAGACATAAAAATCCTGTTTTCTATTAAGCTAGATATGAAGGAGATTGCAAAAATTCAAGCAAAACAATCCACTCTTTTCAGTAATTTTTTTTTGTTTTGGAAAATATAATCGTTTGACATAGGAATATGGTATTTATGGCAACACATAATGGGTTTATCCATTTTTGTTATTTTAAGATAAATTAATAAGTATTTTTTAATTTCTCAGTTTTAATTTCTAATAAGGTAAATGTCCATAAATGTAATCCATATAAAACAAAAGTGGTTTGAGGTTCTCAATAATTTTTAAGAGTGAAAGAGGCCCAAGACCAAAAAGTTTGAGAACTCCTATCTAGAATATAGGTTAGCTTAGTATCAAGAGTTTTCTCAATTTCTTTGAGGAGAAACATAATTGCATCATCTCAAAGTGTCTCCCCAAGGTAGTTATTAACTACAGAAGGAAAGACAGCAACTGTAGAGTAGTGAAAGCCACTAGAAGCCACCTTAACCAAGTGATCAAGGGCAACATCACCAGTAATACGACATACTGACATGACAAACTCTGATAGGATGCACTGAGGACACAACATCTTTTCTGTGGTATTCTTTCCAAAAATGCATAACCTCATTCAAAGCATGAGAAAACATCAGACAAACCCAAATTGAGGAATAGTCTAAAAATAACTGATCAATAATCTTCAGAAATACCAAGGCCACGAAAGACATGGAAAGACTGATGAACAATTACCGACAGGAGGAAACTAAGTAGAAATAATAATCAACTGCAATGTGGGATCCTGGATAAGATCCTGGAACAGAAAAAGAACATTAGTAGAAAAACTGCTGAAATTTGAATAAGGACTGTACTTAACAGTACTGTATCAATGAAATTTCCTGGTTTTGATAATTATACTCCATTATATAAGATGGAAACATTAGGGGAAGCTGAGTCAGGGATATACAGAAACACTCTACTATTTTTGAAACTTTTTCGTAAATTTAAAATTAGTTCAAAATAAAAAGTCATCTCAATTTCTGAAAAGTGTTAGCTATGGTTGTAGCTTAGCAATTATTTTCAGTCACTGTCTTGGATAAGACCTGTTTTCCGATGACTTTCACTTTCAAAAAGTGCTTATAGTTCCCAAAATGAAATACATTTAAGTCACAAATTAAAACCAGATTTGTAAATACAAGATTGCATCATAAACATAGACTATGAAACAATATGCCTCCGGAGAACGTTGTTAAGTATTGTCAAGTCAGTTCCGACTCAGCGACCCTACATACAAGAGAACAAAACACTGCTTGGTCCTGCGTCATCCTCATGATCGTTGTCATGCTTGAGTCCATTATTGCAACCACTGTGTGAATCCAGAGAACACATTATGATTATTTCAAATAATGAGCAATAAGCTAAATTTTAGAGGGAAAAGTGGTTCTAGAGGTATGTTTGGTTATTATTTGTCTGGAGGACAAGAAATGGTATAAATACTCCAAATGGATTAACTTTTCTCAGAAATAGAATTATTCCGATGAGATACAGAAACATTCCTAATATAGTCATAGTTTTATAGTTGTATTCTTAAAAGCAAAAATAACCTAGTGAAGACACAGTCACTCAGCTAAGACTTTTTCTTCTTTCTTTTTTGGTCTCTGTGGGTAGAGAAAGGCAGTGGCATGGGGACTGCCAAAAAATGGTTACCAAACAAACCCTAGAATAATAATATCACTAGAGCCATAATTGCAGGAGAAGCTGACATTCATCTAGGCAATTCTGTAAGTAAATACCTGTCCTCTCCAAAGGGGGTAGTTGTGAAAGTTTAGGGACAAACTCTCTCTACGCACAAGTGCCAGAGTTACATGTTGAATATTAACATGATATCATAATGATATGAAAACTATACTTCAAGACACAGGACACTACAGTGTGTGGGTATTATGAAAAAGGCCTCCTTGGCCAGTGAAGTGAGAAGAACCAGCCACGAGAGCAGGAAAGAGAAGACGAGGTTGACTAAAGCCTTCACAACAGAAGAGAAGCTAAGAGAGATTCTGATAATGGTCTCAGTGTATCAGGTCACCAAAGCAGAAGGTCTCTGCCCACCAAACCAAACCCACCGCTGTCGAGTGGGTTCTGACTCATAGCAACCCTGTAGCACAGAGCAGAACTGCCCCATACGGCTTCCAAGGCTGTAAATCTTTACAGAAACACACTGCCACATCCTTCTCCCGTGGAACAGCTGGTGGGTTCCAACCACCGACCTTTTGTGGTTAGCAGTCGAGCTCTTAACCACTGTGCCACCGGGGCTCCTAGAAGGTTTCTACAGAGGTTAAGATCTCAAATATAAAAGGGGTCCTTTCCCCTGAAAATGTGCACTCTAACCCACAACAACTTCGCCGACGTGTTTTTTGTTTGCTTTTAACTTTTTATTGAAGTATACTGATGTATAGTACATACACAGAAAAGTAGGTGTATCACGAGTGTACCGGCGTAATAATTTTCAAAATCAAACACACCATGTAACCAAGATCGGGATGAAGACACAGAACATGACCAGCCCTGCAGAACCCCCGCCCCCGCCCCAAGCTCCCATTACTAGCAACTATTGAAGAGTTCCAAACATTTCCTGGCTGCCTAGTTTTTAAGGATTAAGGAACATCCTTTAACACTATTCCCTATTTTTTCCTTGGTAAGTGAAGCTACTGCCCACTTATGGAATAATGTATATTATTTTTTGGACATGTCTGACCTTAAATTTCAAGTATTAAAAAATAAAAAAGGGAACTTTTAATGTTTCCTTTTCTTCCACTCTAGACTAATACAAAAGTACCTTGGTTTCATTAAAAGACAAATAGTGGTGATTTATCTACAAATTGAATACCATCATCGTGAATAATACAAATCCACTGTTTTATGAAAAAGGGTCTTTGTAACTACCTCTTCTTTATATGAAAGAACTGGAAAGTGAGTCAAAAGCTATTATCTGTGCACCTCAAGAATGTTACTTCTTCTCTCTAAATCTCAATTTCCTCATCTATAAACATAACCAAAAGCGACTTGACAGAGGGTACATTCTCCTCAGCCTCCTGCCCTGAATCATTTGGGTGTGATTTACAAGGTTATTTTCACCAATCCACTGCATAGATATAGGTTCTACCAAATTTAATAATACCTGGAGTATTTAGAATGTAACAAACTGAATCCTTTATTAACTAAAATTACTTGGTACTCAGTTTGAAAAAGAAAGAGAGAAACGGCGAGATAAGGCAATATGAAGGATTTAACTATTCTATTTTTGTGTATATTTTACATTTTCTATTAGTGATTATTATTATATCAATTAATACCATTAATTATTAAAATTATTTTCATTTTAAGTTGAAGAAAAAACAAGAGTCACTTGCTTGGCCATGTAGCCTTCCCACTAGGCTTAATGGCCCTTTTGATCATAAATTTTACATGAAAGGAGTTTGTGGTTTTACTTGAGAATTGAAAGATATATAGACTTTTGCAAAATGACTGTGTACCTAATGGATAGTTGACAGACATGAGAAAACGTAGGCTATAAGATGCAACCAGGGAATCTTTATGACTTATAAGTTATTTCAGCATTCCAGAAGGGAAGCAACGAGGGTCCCAGAAGACACAAACAGCATTTAAAAGAATTCTGTGACAAAACCAAGCAGGTAAGATATGATTTTGTGCATTTTAACTTGACTTCAATTCATACTTACTTCTCTGACTTCCACAAGATGGTCTGGAGGTAAGTGGGCTCTTTTGCTCACTGACTGCAGTTTGGAATGTCCAACATTAAAAAAAGAAATGGCATGCTGACTTGGTCTCCTCTGGGATATGGGAGAATTGCCACTAGATGCAAGTGAGAAGCTCCGTGACTTCAGAGGAGGGTTATTCTGTTAGACAAACAAAATCATTCCTTTTTTTAACCTCAGAGTTGATTACAATTACATTCTGAAAATGGTAAAATTTAAGATACTCAAAATTTAAGCACTTCATACATGTCACAGTAAACTGTTAATTTATTTAAAAAATTATTTCCAGTTTTGTGCTATTAAGATATATTTTACAAATATTAGAATAATAAGAATTTATAACTTCAGATTTTTAAACTCCATGATTGAAATGAAAAATATATTCAGTGATAAGCAATATAATAAAATTCTTAATGTAATATCTTTGGAACAAACTAGTACTTTCTGATCACTATGACTAGAATCTCGCAGTATAAGTACAGCTTTTGTGTTGGATTTCCTGAAGACTAGGCTACAGGCTTAATATTAAAAAAAAAAAACAACTACTTGGGGGTAAAAAAAACTAGGAGAATGAAAAAAATTACATAATGAAAGTCAAGCTACTGCCTAGGTATGGAAAAATGTATATTATTTTTTCGCATCTCTAACCTTCCATTTCAAGTATTAAAAAATTAAAAAATACTCCAAGAAGATATACAAATGACCAATAAACACACAAGAATATGCTCAACATCATTAGTCATTAAGGAAATGAAATCAGTATGTAATGAGACACCATTTCACACCCACAAGGATCCAAAAAGTAAACATTAACAAGTGTCAGTGAGGATGCAGAGGAAATGGAACCTGATACATTGCTGGTGAGAATGTAAAATGCTACAGCCACTTTGGAAAATAGTCTGGCAGTTCCTCAAAAGTTAAACACAGAATTACCATATGACCCAGCAATTCCACTCCTAGGGATATACAATAAAGAACTGAAATCATGTTCACACAAAAATTTGTACACAAATGGTCTGGGATCTTAAAAGCTTGCAAGTGGCCATCCAAGGTACAATTGGCCTCTATTCGCCTGGAACAACAGATGAGTCAGGAATAGAAGGAGGAAATGGAATGTGTGGTTAATTGCCTCCATGAACAATTGTCTCCTTTGCCATGAGACCTCAGAAGAACTAGATTGTGCCCAGCTACCGTTACTGAGCATTTTGATCAAAGATTCTATAGAAGAATCCTGATCAAAAGGAGGGAAATACAGAACAGAATTTCAAATTATGATGAACCCCCAAAACTACTGCCCTGAAATAATCTTTAAATCTTAAATAAAAAATATCCCCTGAAGTCTTCATAAAATCAAACAGTCTAGCTTAATTTGTAAAAAATATCTGTCTTGAGCATTGTGCTCTTTTAAGAACTATCTATAAGGATCAAATTGATAACAGCAACCCTAAAGATTAGATAGGAAACTTAGGGGGCAGTTTTATGTTAATTGGGGAGGAACAATTTGGAAAAGGAGGGTGTGAATAGTTGCACAACTTCAAGAATGTAATCAATGCCAGCGAATTATATGTGTAGAAATTGCTGAAATGATGCATGTTCTGCTATGTATATTCTTAACAACAAAAATAAAATAAATTAATAAAATTTGTACACAGATGTTCATAACACAATTATTCATGATAGCCACAAAATGTAAACAACCCAAGTGTTCATCAACTGATGAACAGCTAAACAAACTGTGGTATATCCATATAATGGAATATTATTCAGTGATAAAAAGAAATGACGTACTGATACATGCTACAACACGGATGAACTTTGAAAACATGCTAAGTGAAAGAAGCCAGATACATATTATATGTTCCACTTATACGAAATGTCCAGGATAGGCAAATCCATAAAACAGTTTAGTGGTTGCCAGAGGCTGAGGAAGTGGGGAATGACAAGTGATTACTAAAGAGTGTACAATTTCTTTTTAGGGTGATAAAAATGTTCTATAATTAGATAGTGATGATGTTTGCACAACTTTGTGAATAAACTAAAAACCATGGAATTGTACAAAAGGGTGAATTTTATGGTATATTAACCATACCTCAATTTTTTAAATATAAATAAGATTAAATTAAAAAGAAAACCACTGCTTCCTCATTTTTGTGCACTAGTATTGTACTGAAATCCACACACCTTTCCAATAGCTTCAGTGTGATGTTGTGTACATATCTGAAGTCTGCTAACCCAGTGCTGTCGCTCTTTAGCATCTGTGGCTAAGAAAAAGAATCGAAAAGTTATTCACTTTTATATTCATTTTTTGAATACAAGTAACTGTTTATAGTATGAAGAATGAAAACCAGGGACTGGTCCTGCTCCCCTAGAGCAAATGCCCCCGACGGGATGGAGGTGGGAAAGAGGCCAGAGTATCGACCCGGCTAGGCAGCACAGTAGCTGGATGTGATACTTCATGAGGAGGATAACCTGCAAGCAGCTAAAGTGGGGATACGAGACTGACACGTCTTAAGTCTTCACATAAAAATACGCTGTTATTTAAAGAAATAACATTTATTAAGCATCTGGTGTGCACATAGTACTTACACATCTTTAGTAAAATGTTCAGTGAGGATTACCACTATACTTTCTGTGTATTAACTAAAATAACAACACTACACAAGATAAGTTTATCCAAACAGGAGCTATACCTTATTTTAATGAATATGGACATTCTCCTAAATCCCCATTCATTATATTAGTCACTGAAGAGAGGGCATGCGGACCAAATCAAGTAAAGGTGCGAAATACATCTCCACGGCAGACACAAAAAATATCATTTAAAGAAGTCTATGTTTTTAGATCTCAGTAATCAGGGTTTTGGCTACACAGATTTTTTAGAGAGGCCAATTCTAAAGACTTGTTTGTTGGCCCACTTGAAAAAGTTATTTATTAAAACAGATTTCATAAATTCTTAAAGCAATTCCAAGACTTAGAATATTGGATCTATATCACAGTAGCTTCTATTTCCAAAACCCAAATGAAAGCAGGGAAGAACAGCAACTTCTCAATCAAAGAACACAATTACAGCGTGAATTCTCCTCTCTCACCCCTACCTCTGAGTTTATACTGTTCCCCACTGGCAGCATTCACGGTGAAGGTGTGGGAGTCCTCGTCACTGGGTGATATCACGGCTCCTGCCAGCTGCAAAGTACCTCTGGGTTTTTGATTTCTAGACTGTTCATTCACAAAGTACTCCAATAGTCCAGCTTCATTGTTTAAAACAAAAAACCTATAATGATTTTTAAAAAAAAAGAAAAAAAGTCAAACTAAAGCAAACCAAATTTCAATCACTTACACACTCTGGGGGTTTTGTTATTAAAAAAATAAAATTCAAAAGCATTTCAATTGGAAAGACTGGGGTGAATGTCCTAGCAGTAAAGATTACTGAAAAACTGAATGAGTTTAATGAAAGATATAAAATCTTCAGCTGAGGAAGAGATATTTGATAGAGAAGAGGCATACCAGAAAATGCACAAAAGGAAACAAAGATACAGTATCCTTTCAGAGAAAGATTTCTCTCCAGAATTCATTACCAGGGAGGGGAAATTGCCCAAAGTCAAACAGTAGTGAAAATTGTTATTTAACATTCACTGAAAACAAATCAGAACATGAACTCTGACGTTAACTAAATGCTAGGTAAGAAATGAAATCTGATTTAAGATTTAGTAAGTGAAATATACAATGAGAATAATGCCAGGGTGGAAAGATTTTGTGAATGTATCATTAACTAGGTCACAACTAAAGACTACTTGTCCTGTTTAAAAATGAAAAAGCTGCAACTGGAGATGCAGAAACATAAGGAACTTGAAACTAAATGATGAAATACTGATATACTTTGGAGGAGAATTTGATGTTCTGATTTGGCTCTAGATTAACTACTTTAGGAAATAAATTAGTTAAGATCCCTATTTGAGTAGTGTAGTACTTCTTTTTAAAAAAAAAAAAAAAACTTCCAAAAAGTTTCAACTTTTTAAAATTGATGTTTGGATGTGGAGTAGTTTGGCAATCTACATGTTAGTATGCTCTAGAATAGAACCTGGTAGACAATTTGATCCAGTTCAAGTTCTTGGAAGATACCGTCCCAAGCAGTGTGGCAACCATATCAAACCGACTCAGGGAAAGAACGGAATTGGCCTTATACTAAGACGAAGAGAAAGAACCGATGAGAAGCAACCAAAGAAGTTGATTATGGTTGCCTGAGAAGGGATATGAGTAAGCAAAGGACTACTGTTTTTATCGTGTCTTTTAGCATGCTTCTTATTTTTAAAATTATATTAACATATTTTTATTTAAAAATAATAAATTTTGGGAGGGAGGAGGAGGGGAAATCACTAACTAGATAGTAGACAAGGGTCAACTTCAGTGAAGGGAAGGACAACACACAATACAGGGGAAGTCGGCACACCTGGACCAAAGCAAAACCAAAGAAGTTTCCTAGACACATCCAAACACTTTGAGGAACAGAGTAGCTGGGGCTGGGGCCTGGGAACTATAGTTTTGGGGGACATCGAGGTCAACTGGCATAACACAGTTTATAAAGAAAATGTTCTACATCTCACTTTGGTGAGTAGCGTCTGGGGTCTTAAAAGCTTGTGAGCAGCCATCTAAGATGCATCAATTGGCCCCATCCCACCTGGAGCAAAGGAGAATGAAGAAAACCAAAGACACAAGGAAAACATTAGCTCAAAGGACTAAAAGACCAAAGGAACCAGAGACTCTACCAGCCTGAGACCAGAAGAATTAGATGGTGTCCGACTACCACCAATGACAGTCCTGACAGGGAACACAACAGAGAGTCCCGGACAGGGCAGGAGAAAAATGTAGAACAGAATTCAAATTCACGTAAAAACACCAGACTTAACGGTCTGACAGAGACTGGAGGAACCCCCAAAACTATGGCCCCCAGACGCTCTGTTAACCCAGAACTGAAACCATTCCCGAAGCCCACTCTTCGGACAAAGATTAGACAGGACTATTAGACAAGGAATGATACACGTGAGGAACGTGCTTCTTAGTTCAGTCGGACATACGAGACCAAATGGGCGGCTCCTGTCCGGAGGAAGGACGAGAAGGCAGGAAAGGGAAAGTACTGGTCAAATGGACACAAGGAACCCAGGGTGGAAAGGGGGAGTGTGCTGTCACATTCTGGGGATTGCAACCTATGTCACAAAACAATATGTGTATAAATTTTTGAATGAGAATTTAAAAAATAATAATAATAATAAATTTTAAGAGTTTTTAAACTTACATTCTTAGTGAACTGCCTGTTATATTTTTGCCCATTTTAATAGGATTGTTTATCTTTATTTCTCCAAAGGTTTAAAGGGATAATTTAAATTAAAATAAGATAGCCAGCGACATCATCCTAAATTTATAAAACATATGACCTGTCCTTAAAATGCCTATATAGATCTTTTAAAAAAAAAATTTTTTTTTTATCAAAGAAACTAAAAGGGGATGTTTCATGTTAGCAAGAAAGCAATCTCTTGAAGAATATATTAAAAACCACTGAATTAGACACTTTAAGGGGGTGAACTATATGGTATGTTAATTACATCTTAATAAAACTGCTACAGAAAGAAACAAAGAAAAATCTTTTCCCATTGTCCCAAAAAACAGGCAAATTCCTTTCAAATAAACAAAGGAGAATGACTGGTCTCCCCTCCAAAAATCAGTCAATCAAAGACAATTTAGAGTACTACACATCTGGAAATCTCAAACTTGCTATGAACAGATATTTCTTATCTCAAAACTTACAACATGGAAGGCACTCATCTAGATATATAGAAAGTAATGCTGAGGAGGAATTGGTGAAATGATACAAAGAAGCTAATAACTGATACCTTTCCAATACCAATATGATACTATGGACCCAGGGGCAATAACAGAGCACTTTGGGCATCTCTCAGTATGCAAGGATTAATCCAAACATTCTCCCCTGATCCCGTCTATGCACAGATACCTTAGAAGATGCGAGGACTGGGGACAAAGAGACAATTCACATAATGAAGAAACTTAAATAAAGCCCAGAAGGGTACTAGGCCTAATCAATAAACTACAGAAATACAGAAACAAAGAAGTTCAGCATAAGCCTTTATATACAGAAAATTAACCTATTAAAATAACTGTTAAAATAAAATGTTGTTAAGACTGGCATAACTTTGTAATTTCAGATCACCAAAGACCGCCAGTTCAGGAAAATGACTAATCTTTGGGACAGTCCACACCTTTAAGGAAAGTATCATCAAATGCAACTTTAACCTGAAGTAAACTCTGACTTGGAAGTGTGTCTCATGATGACAACAATAAACTTTAGTGAAGATTTTCGATGGAAAGGTAACCATGCACTTTGTTCAGGCCATCCGAGGGCTTTAATACTCAGTGTGTGTACAACCTCTAAGCCACATGGGGAGAAGGAATCTCACCTTCAGCAATGAGAGCTGAAAGTGGAGGGAAGTGGGTCCAGGAAGGGGTCTTGCTGGTGTGTACTTTTCTAGGGCACTACATTCCAGAGCAAGGAGTTCTTTAGAGTATGCCCATGCTGGATTTCTCCAAGCTGCTCTAGGTTGACCTTAGTCAAAATAGAAATGGATTGCAGGGAAACCAGCGTGACTATCTAAGCACAGGTGCAGTGCTTTTGTTAATTAAGCTGCACCTGCAGCACGTGGACAGAAGTGGCAAGGCAAGTCAAGCAGAATGAGCTACCAGGCCTAGGGCCCGTCAGCAGGATTTTAGCCTTTCCTTCCTGTTCCCTTTTTATCATTCGATCTACTGTCCCATGATGAGGGCCCAGGATATCTGTGTTGTGCCACATGACACCAGCCCAGCTGACAGAAAACTGAAGATGGAAGTTTTTCCGCAGTGGGCCTGCAGCAACTGAGTTGACAAGCCGAGACCTCTCTGATGGGGCAAGTTGGTAAAAGGCTCTGTGTTCTCAGTAGCAACCAGGGATGAGGCGTTCTCATCTCCGCACTTTCTGGCGCTGCTACAACCGGCCTCTTACAGAGCTGGATGCAGCAAGTCAGCAGAAGCTGTGCCCCTCCGTATCCTAGAGTTGGCCTGGATCTGCTAGCTGACTCCGCACGTAACCAGTGGCTCAATGGATCTTTTTGGTAGCCTCTGCGATGCAAAGATAGACACCTGCACCTTCTTCCCCTGGTCTGACCTGAAACGCCATCTTTAACATACACTGGATCTTACATGCTTGGATCTGTTTGGGGGCTTTCTGCATTCTGTGTGAGACTTTCTCAATAATATTACGTGACTGAAAGCTGTTGAATGTTGGAGGCCAAAAGCTAACCTACTTCCCTTTTAAGAAGGAATACAAAGAATAATGCTATGAGCAAAGTAATGTAAAATTTTTTAAAAAATTAATATTCTGTGTATCATTTGAATGTATACGCTTTCAAAAAATTACATAAAAACTGAGGTGGAAAAACGCAAAATGAAAAGGCTTTCTTTCTTGACTTTGCTTTTTTATGAAGGATAGGAAGAACTTCCCTTTTCACCTCAATAGGAATGATTCTCTTCTAAGTTTTCATATTCAGCTTTGCCCTCGCATATGACCCCCACCTTTCTGCAGGGCATCTCCATTTGAATTCCTTAATGTTAAGCCAAAAAAACAAACCCGCTGCCGTTGATTTGACTCCAACTCATGGTGACCCCATGTGTTACAGAATGGAACTGCTCTATGGGGTTTTCTTGGCTGTAATCTGTACGGAAGCAGATTGCCAGGCCTTTCTTCCGTGGTGCCGCGGAGTGGTTTGAACCCTCAGCCTTTCAGTTGGCCTAACTAACCTCTGCAAGTGTAAAAAGGCCCAGGCAGGTGAACAAGTGGTTCTGAGCCTAATTCAACAGTAACTTCTGAGGCATTTGGAGGCTGCCATTGGGCAGATGTCAACTCTTCTCACCATTTAAGAAGAAAAGAAAGCCACCAGACTTTTGGAAAACATGGTCAATAAAAGAAGAACCAACAAGCCATCTTTGAAAGGTTTCCGAGCCATGTTTATACTAAAGTAATGTAAAATGACCAGCCCCACTTTTCTGGTCCCTTAGGAGAGTTGTGTGACATAAAATAATCACACTTACCTGTACTGCCACCCAGTGACAAGGTTGGTGTACTTCATTAAATAGCCATACACATTTTCCATGTGATCACTGGGTCAAAAAGAACAGAAAGAGCCAAAGTCAGTGTTAATTAGAAGAAAGCCTATGAAGCTAACTGTACAGGTTTGAAAATAGCTGTAGACACAGACAGATTTTTCTATAAATGGCTCAAACTTTCTTCGCAAGTAAAATGTATAGGTTAACACATAAAGAGGCATTTAATGCCCCAAATTTCATATCTGCAGAACTTTACCATATTTCTTCAAAAGAAGTGTAATCCATAATAAATTACCATACTATAAATATTCCTAATAAAATATCATGTTATAGAAATATAATTACATAGATATACAACAGATATTCTAGAAACATAAATATTATAAATATAGTACTTCATAACTTATTCAAAACGAAAGTGATAAAATCCAGTTTTATGGTTCTAGAATAACTAAAAAAGAGTTTCTAGATTGAACAGTGCCTCTTCACCCTAGTGGGACACACAAGAGGCCAATCTGTTTTGTCTCTGATTCCCTGGACTTCTAAAATGAAGATCCTGCTTTTGATGACAGTATGACACCTCACTCCCACTCCCCCACCCAGACAGGCATAACGCAAAGGGCGTAAGTCTTGCCCGTGGAAAGATTTTATTTGGGACTTGTATCATTAGCCTTACTAGAATTTTCTTTACTCCCTGCACCCTCCCCCCCCCCTTTTTTTATTACGGGTATGTTCTGTTATAGTATGTCATAGAAAATGCAATACTTCATTAATACAGCAGTCCCTTGCTATCGGCGAGGGATTGGTTGCAGGATCCCACCAACCTCCCCCCAACCTCATGAGGATAACAAAATCCACCGATGCTCAAGTCCCTTACATTAAATGGTGTAGTATTTGCATATAACCTACACACATCCTCCCATATACTTTAAATCATCTCTAGATGACTTATAATACCTAATACAATGTAAATGCTATGTAAATGGTTGTTTTATCACAATTAAAGACTTGCTCTGGAGGGTAGCCTTTCTCTTCTAGGAGGTTTTTTTTTAAATTTTTTTTATTTTTTCCTGTACAAAAATTTATACATACATTGTTATGTGACCCTAATTGCTCTCTCCATACTGTACAGCACACTCCTCCTTTCCACCGGATTCCCCACGTCCATTCAACCAACTCCTAACCCTCTCTGCCTTCCCATCTCACCTCGGGAAAGAAGCTGCCCGTTTAGTCTCTTGTATCTACTTGAGCTAAGAGGCACACTCTTCATGAGTATCATTTTAAGTCCCACAGTCCCTGCCTGAAGAGCTGGCCTCAGGAATTGTTTTAGTTCTGGGTTGACAGAGAGTCCGGGGGCCATGCTTTCTGGGGTTCCTCCAGTCTCAGTCAGACCATTAAGTCTGGTTTTCTTACTAGAATTTGAGTTCTGCACCCCACCTTTCTCCTGCTCCATCAGGGACCCTCTGCTGTGTTCCCCGTCAGGGCGGTCATTGGTGTTAGCTGGGTACCATCTAGTTCTTCTGGTCTCAGGCTGATGAAGTCTCTGGTTTACGTGGGCCTTTCTGTCTCTTGGGCTAATACTTTCCTTGTGTCTTTGGTGTTCTTCACTCTCTTCTAGGAGTTTCTTGGGCTCTTCCGGGAATGCTGATGCTGCCTGGACATCAGCCAATGCCGATTCGCCCGTGATCTTGAAGTTCTTGAGGCTGTAGTACTTTACAGAGCTAGCCAACCATCCCTTACTCCTTCAACTCCTTCCTCTGGCTCTCCTCAACCCCCTCACACTTAGCCTTGGAGGGACTGCCCTGACCTCTTCACTGCTTTTTAGGAGCCATTTTTCACAGAAACAAAGGGTACACACAACACAAGTAGCGAACAAATGAGAAGCAAGGGAAACAATGCTCAAACAATGTTCAGTGCTAGAGAGAAACAGATCTGTGAAACGGTGGGAGGCTACAGTAGGGGATGCCTACCCATCACTTCATTCGCATGGATTCAGTATAGTGCTCGGCGCAGGGCAAATTCAAGTTTCGCTTTTTGGAACTTTTCCCCCCAAGTATTTTCGATCCACAGTTGGCTGAATCTGTGGGTGCTGAACCTGCAGATATGGAGGGCTGACTGCATTTCTCTTCCAATATTTTAAGGTTCCCTTATACTTTATCCTGGTGGCACCAGTGGTTAAGCATTTGGCTGCTAACCAAAAGGTTGGCTGTTCGAATCTACCACCCGCTCCTTGGAAACTCTAAGGGGCAGTTCTACTCTATCCTATAGGGTCGCTATGAGTCAGAATCAACTCAACAGCAACTAACAACAGCAATTAACAGCTACCAATTAATTTTTAAAAGAGTACAATTTCAGTACCATCATTCTCTAAATAAAACCAAAGTGCATTTTCACATTTTACAATACACTAATGTTTTGTGCTCAATTTTTTAATCCTATTAATATTTTGTTGATGCTTATATCTAAAAAGAGCTGATTTTCTCACAAAATTACAAAAGGGATACTGACTCTTTATAGTAATACAGAGCCAGCCTCAAAGAAACCAGAAATTCATACCTATGTAGAAACTGCTGAATTAGTGAACATTTTGTTGTGCATATTTTCACCACAATAAAATATATATATGTATATACAAACATATGTTTAACCAGAAATTCAAATATGCAATTAAAAACTGCTTACCCGTTTTTTACTATATAAAACAGACATTACCAGTCTACAAAGAACCAACTTACAAGCATCCTTCTCTTTGAAACAGCTGGTTGCACTGTCCCTTCCTCATCCCTCCCCTCCTTGTATCCTAAGAGTTAGCCACTATCCAGTGCCACCAGCTGATGTGGAACAAGTGTGCCATCTGGTGGCCAGCATAGAGAGCTTTATGACTGAACAGCTTTTGGTCATTCTTTCCTTTCTTCTCTCTACCTCCTTATAACTGAGTTACTATGTAGTACGAACCTCTTAACTCTTATGCTTTGCTCCCATTTAAGATGCATCATTTTATACAAGATTTTTAATGTACCTGTTAATATGAATAAAATCTAGCTTTTAAAGTGGGAACACACATCTCTTGATTATATCATACTACTATTTTGTATTCTGTGAAGTAGAGATGATGGCCCCAAAACACTAATGCAATGAAAAATAAGTTATGAAAAAGTGAGTTTCTTCTACAATTGTTCGGCAACTCCACTGCTCAACAAACTGGTACATTTCTGACCTTTAACAGTTGTTACCACAGCACTGATGCTAACTAACTAAAGGATGCCAACTGGCATTATCAGAATGTTTAGTTTGATGCTTGTCTCCTTCCCATGATGATTAATGATGATTGTTTCAACTCCTAAAGCTCCATTACTAAAACATACTTAACTTCTTGACCCTTCTTTATCAGACCCATATACAAAGCTTTTAAAATTAAGCTACGTTTTGAGTCGTTTTCAAATCCTTTCACTGCAATTCAACTCAACTACTCAGTACCTTCTAAATACAAAAAAAAAAAAAAAAAAGCAGACTTACTCGCCTGAAAGAGACTGGAGGCATGTTAAGAATGTGATGCATAGTAAATTC